GTGACATTAACCATTTGGATCATTGTGGTAGATTATAATTCTTGCTGCATTTGTGTGCCGTGTTTTAATACCTCTGATACCATTTGCTATGTTCTTCAGCATCTCTGAAAGAGTCATGACATCAGTGATCATTGAAAGGCAAGGTTCACTTATAAAACCTTTTAAGAGATCTCTAATTCATAACTTCCTCTACAGCTCCTCAGTAAGAACTGGAGCTCCATGAAGATGGAAGATTTGTGTGCTAGTGGATTCATATACCCATCTGAAAGAAGCACAGACCTACTGAGCAAAAACATGTCAAGTGGGCACAATAGTCTGGCATTTCTTATAAGATATCACAGTCCCTGGCAACTTTAGACCTTTAAAATTATGTATGAACTTCACATACATCAGTGAGATTTTCGTGAGCTCATTTCTGGAACATCTAGGGACAATCATGACATGGGTCATCCTTGGAGCCAATCTGGGCAAATTCCAGGCATTGAGTTTACCTACTGGATTAAGCCTTAGGGGTTTAGAACTGCGGGGATGATGGCATTTAGTTTCCTACCTGTTCTTTTAGGAGGCTGTTTAATGTAATGGTTAAGCATCTAGACTCTAGGGACAGACTCCCTGGAGTCAAATTCTAGCATTGCTGTTTATTATCCATACGACCTTGGGAGAGTTTCATAACTTCTCCAGCCTTCAGTTTTTTAAATCTCTAATATAGAAAAATAATGCCCATTTCATATGATTGTTACAGGAATTAAATGAGAAGTAAAGTACTAGAATAGTGCCCATGTTGTAACTGCATTGTAGTGTACCGTGGTTATAGACTATATGAAATGGGAGCATCAAAGGCAAAATCAGGGACAAAAGATAGATGATGGCAGAATGGGTTCAGGACCTCTTCAGATAAAGGGTTAATGAATATAACGGATGTCATAAGCCTGAGCAAGGAAAGTGTAGTGGTTGAAGTCCATGAGCAAAACTGAGGTCACAGAAGGCACAGACCTAAAGTATTTACATGAGAAAAAGTTTATCCTGAGCAGTAACCAAACAAAAATAAATTAACAACGAATTACTGTAGAGTGGCAATGGTTATTTAGAGTAACTGAAACCTGTTGTGGGAGAAGTGTGGGAGAACAGTCACATCCTACTAATAGAAGTATAAATTGGGATAGTTTTTTGGGAGAAGCCTAATTGGCAAAATAAATTTAAGGTCCTTAAATATGCATACCCTAAATTACTCATGATTCTCCTTTTAGAGCTTTATACTATTGAGAAGCAACTTAATTTGCAACAGGAAGATCCTAAGTGAATTATGACCCATCCAAACACTGTTACTGATGTTCAAGTTAAAAGTCATTCAGTTCTTGACCATATAAATCTATGTCTTTATACTATTTCTTTGACAGTTCTGTTAGTTAAACTCTGTAGAAATGAATCTTCTTTATTTGTGAAGAAAAGTGGACTCAGGCTTTACTGTAGAATAAGAGAGCCTGAACTCCACGTTCTTATGCTGTGAGGTAATGCCTCTTTTGAGTGTGGAGAGAGCATTTTTGTTGCTATATAATATTGCTATTGGCAAACCCATTAGTGCTGTATAATAACAATATTGAAGTAATGCTGTTAAGTTTCTTGATTTTTTTTGAGTATAGAAGTTAGAGTCATAACATTTATTTGTTAAATTAAAATATACATAATGTTTATGCAGATAGTAAAAAAACAAAAATCAGTAATATGACACTTCATCAAATTGGCAAATTTTTTTTTACAACTTTATTAAGGTATAATTGAAGCATAATACACTGCACATCATGCGTACAGTTTAATCAGTCTTGACATTTTCATCTTCCCAAAAGATTTTTCATACCCTTTTGCAATCTATCCCTCCCACCAGCTCCACTCTCCAGGCAACCACTGACCTGCTTTCTTTACTGTTGATCACTGGCAAAGATTTTTTAGTAGTAATATCCAATACCAAAATAGGAAACAAGGTACTTTCATATATCTCTGTGGGAGTCTGATATTGGGAGGGCAATTTATTAGTTTCAAAAACCCTAAATATCCTTTCAACCAGCAATTCCACTTCTAACTTGAGGAAATAAATTGTTATGTGAATAAGGATTGAATTACAAGAATGTTCATCACTGTGATTATAATTGCAAAAAACTGGCAATAAATTAGATGTCCGATATTATGGAATTGTTTAAAGAAACAGTTCATACATATAATGAAATGTTATGCGTTTAATATTAGTAGTAGAAGTATATTGTTTTGTAAACAATGACAGGATCATATGGTGTTCCTATGTTTTTAATTTGTTTTTTCAGTACACAACAACTAAAAAGTACATAGATAAAACAGGATTAAAAATATATCTTTAAAGCAAAATGTTGAAAGTAGTGTCCTCTGGATGATGATATTTATCTTAAGTTTTTGCAGTACATAATGTTTTCTTGTAAAAAAATTTATTGAAATTTCTTCCTGATTATAAAAAGCTAACACATGTTAATATAGAGAATTCGAAAGCTGACATAAAAGGAATAAAGAAAATGCATAAAATAGGGTTGATAGACAGTCATCCCTTGGTATCTGTGAGGAATTGGTTCCAGGACTCCTTATAGATACCAAAATCCACAGATGCTCAAGTCCCTGATAGAAAATGGCATCATGTTTGCATATTACCTATACACATATTCCAGTACATTTTAAATCCTCTCTGGATTACATAACATCAAATACAATGTAAATGCTATGTAAGTAGTTATTATACTGTATTGGTTTTTAAGTTTGTATTGTTTTTTATTGTTGTATTGTTATTTTTTATTGTGTGGGGTTCCCTTATGTTGTTTTGTTGTTATTGTTGTTTCTCTTTAGAAATATTTTCTATTTATAGTTGGTTGAATCCAGGGATGTAGGATTCAAGCATGCAGAGGGCTGTCTGTATTATTTTAAGCTATTTAAAGTTTAAAAAAAAAAAAAAAAAACTTACAAAACTCTTTTATACTTGAATGGCATCAGAGTAAAGTTCCCTGGACCTTGGCCCCTGCCTGCCTGCACCTTTTGCAGTCCCTACTCTCTGTATGCTCTTGTGGTAAGGCATGCCCTGAGGTTTCCTAGAACACAAATTCTCTAGGTCCCTGCCCTTGCTCCTGCTGGCCATCCACCATCAGTCCTCTTCTTCCTTGACTATGTTCTCCTCATCCTTTGAAATTTACTGTCATTGTCATCTCCAGCAAGCCTTTGCTGAGCTTTTAGCACTTCTCCTTTCCCATTCCCACTGCTCTGTATACCCATCCTTAGTGAGACCCCTATCACATTGTATTATTCGTTTTCGTTCCTCTCCTGACAGACTGAGCATGACTTGATACAGGGACAGTATTGGTTGGCACAATACCTGGAGCTTAACTAGCACAAAAGCAGTTGGAGCTTAACTAAGAGAGTATGTGCATGTGTGTAACTGAACAATAGAAATAAAGATGTGTTGGAATCAAATAGCCTGGAGTATTGGATGTATCTGTATGACTGGAGCATGGGATCTTTGTGAAATATTTAGTAGATGAGGATAGAGAGATAAGTAGGAGCCAGATTATTAAAGGCTTCCTACGTCGTCCTAAGGATTTTGGGTCCTATAGCATAATTGAGAAACCAGTGAAAGACCTTTAAGTAAGAGAATGGTCTAGCCTTGGCAAGATGGTAGAATAGGAAGCCCTGGAGCACAGCAATTTAAGTATATATTTATAGGCAAATTTTCTTCGTCAGAAATCAGTTAAGAGGCTCCTGTGTGCCAGGTGAGCATGAAGCTAGCCAGATCTTAATTGGCATACTCTCATGCCATAATCCCTATCTATAGTGCAGTGCCATACAATCAGTACAACTGCCCCCTACCCCCAGCTCCTAGCTTCTTTCTGCCTGGAAGGGGAAAGATGTGTACCATACATTCAATGCCTTAGCTTTTCTGGGGCTACCCAGAGGACTGGCTTCTGTCTGGCCAGTCTCAGAGTGCTGATAGGACATGGCATATTTTAGCAACCTGGGGCCAATGAATACAGAGGTGGGTGGTGGTGGTGGTCACCATAACTATCCCCTCCTCAGCCCAGCACAAAGCTAATAGTTGAAAAGCTCCATCATTCAGCTTTTTCCTGGAGATGCAAAGAGGTGCACCATGTATCCAGTGACCCAACTTATCTGGGAGTTGCCTAAAGACTTGGCTTCAGTCTTGCTTGTCTCAAAGCTCTGAGCCCCAGGCTCACTCCTATTGATTTCAGAATCTGTCCATGGCGTGGCTTGAATTAATGCACTAGATAATCCCTAGAATGGTCAGATTCTTGAGATGTTTGAGCAACATGATAACTACTTGATTATTAGTAAATCAGAGATGGTTGCCAGGAGTCTAGGTTAGGTCATGAGTAGCCTCACGGTGGTATGAGCAAAGCAAGTTAGGGAGAGTGCTAGTTTAGAGATGATACCCTGTTGTTTTTTTAGGTGTTCATGAGTTAGAGTTGTCTATGGGACATCCTTGTGGAGGTGAGAGGACCACTAGGCTGTTGAATACCTGCATTTATAGCTCCAAATAAATTTGGATGGATTCAGCTTTCATTTTACCTGGTGTGCCTCAGTAGCTGTATATCTTGGGGTTTCATGCCTCTTTTATGAGATATCAAATATTAAAATGCAGAGTGATGACACTGCAGATTCCTAGTTTTCTCCCCCATTGTAATTCCACACATCAGTTTCCCTTGTCCCTTTATATCTTCCCTGCTACACACAAGTCCCAATAAAACCACTTTTTTGGATTTTTTTAAACTTGTAATTTTAGGAAAGTTGAAACAACATTATTCACCTTTGAATAGAAGCTGCAAATGCCTCTACAGTATGACAAAGATACCTGATTGGCAGTGTTTCTCATTTCTTTGTTACTATACCAAGTAAAGCCATTGAGTTAATAATGCTATAACATGTTTCTATCTTAATTATTTAAGTGTAATAACAGTATTCCTTCATTTTATTTATAGCTCCAAAAGGAATTCTTCATTTGTCTCCTGATGTTTATCAAGAGATGGAAGCCAGCCGCCACAAAGTAATCTCTGGCACTACTCTAGGCTATCTGTCACCCAAAGATATGAACCAACCTTCAAGCTCTTTCTTCAGTATATCTCCCACATCAAATAGTTCAGCTACAATTGCCAGGGAACTCCTTATGAATGGAACATCTTCTACAGCTGAAGCCATAGGTTTAAAAGGAAGTTCTCCTACTCCCCCTTGTTCTCCAGTACAACCTTCAAAACAACTGGAATATTTAGCAAGGATTCAAGGCTTTCAGGTATGAATTAAAAGCAAAAACAAAAACAAAACAATTCATTAGCCTCAGATCCTTCATCTCTATCCATCACAAGGCTCATTCTTGCCTGCTAGTGTGGCCTACATGCCACTTACATTTTAAGTTATTTAGGAACACAATGGACATGAAAAAAGAGCCATATGCACATGCTTCATTTTATCTTATTTTTGTTCTATCTAGTAATTCTTTAGCTGACTTTTCTCCATTTTCCTTCTTTTTCTTTTACAAACATTTTTCATACTCTTCACTGTCTTCCATTTGGTCTTGATTAGGTGCATCTATCTCTTCACTCTGTCTTCCACAAACAAAAATTCTGCCTTCAGACATTTGGTGTTAGTATTTCACACTCAGTTCTCTTTTTACGTAAGGATTGAGTTTTTCTTTTTTTAATGATGATTTTACTTTTTAGCGGTTTTGAATTTTGAATTCTGTTGCTAGTATTGATTCAGGTACACCATTAAGATACAACATTCTAAAAGTTACCTTAGGAGTTAATTAAACATGGTATTTGAAGAATAATGAAATGCTTTATAGTTGTTTGAGGCATAACAATGTGTATTTGTTTTACTGGATCATGTTTTGAACTGACTAGGGAGGGTAGCACCTGCTTCAGATGGTACCAGCAATTCTGTTTCACTGGGTAGTCTAAAACTACCATATAGTTTAACTTAACTTGTTGTGTATGTGAATTTAGGGATGGAAACTTTTTTCCCTGTTTATTCTTTGTTTCCTTTTGGAAAAAACCCCACAAAAATCAACACTCCGTTATAGATACATCAGAGCTTTTAAAAGAATTGTTAACTCTAGGAAGGGGAAATATCTGTGTCCTGATTTCTTAGTTGCCTTGAAAATCATGTACTGAACTGTAACCGCTAACTTGACTGGATGAACTACAGTTTGCTTGTGTGTAGAGAGTGTATTGCTTCCTCAGATTTCACTGTTTTCATCTTTTTTTCCATCTTAGTCTTTATTCCTTAAGACCAAAAACTGTAATATCCTTTAGAAATGCTCTACAAGATCTGTATTGTGTAGAATGATCATGTATTTATGAAAATTTTACAAGTTTAGATTATAAAATGAAAAAAAAAAGATCGTGTGTTTGGGGGTATTTCGCATGTTTGGATTTTCCTCCCCCCTTCACTGAACCCTTCTGATTCTTTCAAACTATTGCCAGGTAGTTGTTAGTGTTTTTAATTGGACTATTAATATGAACTTAAAGAAGCTGTTACGAATTATTGGCTCTGTCATCTGAAATTTTAACCACTTAATTTAAAGTTATAATTTTAGAGTTTGTTTTTGTTGTTTTACCTTAAGAAACACAATAAATCACTGTTTAAAAAAAGATCTCGATTTATATAAAGTACTGGAAAAAAACATAAGTAATTTTTAGTTCTATCTATAATCTGCATAGGATGAATTAGAAATAAATTGTGATGAAAAGAAATTCACTGCTTATTTATGAATCTAGTCATGTAGAAATACCTGAGAGTAACACTGTATTCTCATAGAAACAAAACACAAATTTCATTCAAGCTCTGAATTGGTCTTTTGCTTGGAGCTGTTGTTATCATAGATGTAATTGTGCTACCAGAACTTCTTAATTTTTTAAATTTGTTTTTATTTGTTAGTTCTTGGCAATGACAATAATTATAATTTTAACGTATCTTCACTGTAGTCAACACACAGAGTCTGCTTCCCTCATTATTGCATTGCTTAGGCCTTTTTAAAAAGCTTATGCTGACATAATATACTCTTATTATGGACACATTACACATTTCCTAATCTGTGTATTGTGATTTTTACATACTAATGAATATAAACAGATGGTTTTAAAATATTACTGTGCTTTTTCGGTTGAATGAGCTGGTATTCATGTGAAATACTATGTCACTGATGGACCACCACCTGCAGCTAAGCAGTGAGCAGAATCTCTGGGAAATGGCTTAGTCCAGCCACATGTATAGCCCATCTTCATAATGTCACAGCAAAAGATTCTTTGTGGTTAAGAGTTTTAAAGCCTATTTCTTTATAGGTAACTCTTTCAGGCATATTTACCTGGTAGGAAAACATGTAGATTGTTTCTATTACCTAAACATTTTAATTGGACTGTAGTTTAGAAATTATAGGACCAGCTTGTTACAGATTATATGCAGTATATTCTGTTACTTTTATTTCTGGAACTTAAAAACAATAAATTCTTTTTCTGTGTTTCTAGGTTAGAACTTTTTTATTTTATTGCACACTGAACAGATATTATTGGTTATTGAATATTTTGTAAACCCTTCCTTGGCTTTCCTTTGCCCGTTGCAATTTGATTTAAGCCTACTAGAGCCATTGTATGTGACAGCTATATTGTATTACAAAGTAAAAATATGTGAGTGTATTGAAAACAAAGTTGTTTTAACCTTTAATTTTGTTTCATCACCCAGTCTTTAATTTGAATTTATAAATTACAAAAAGCTACTTTGCTCAACTGACTGTAGGTATCCAAGCTCAAATCCTTTCTTTTAAATCTACAAAATACGTAAAACGTATATACAATTAAAGTTATTAATAAAATTGACTTAACAGAGCAGAATGTGACTGAACACTTGCACATTCTCAGCAGTTCTTTTATTCTTGTTTGGTCTCACCTAAAGTTTTTATCATATTTTAGAATCGAACCTTTTAGATCTCTGTCAGAAATGAATGTTTATTTCTTTCAAGTTTTATCAAGTATTAATACATTTTATTTACCTTCTTTTAAATGTTTTATTCAGTAGTTCTGTGAACTTCAGACTTTGTTATTCAGCCTAATCATATACTTCTATAACTTCTACACATTTTATAAAAACTCATTCAAACTTGTAGTCCTACCATAGTGTTTCAGGGTTCCTTGTTGTGTACTCTTTTATTATAATGCCAAAATGTTTCAAAATCATTCAGTTTTTTTAAAGTAAATTATTATTCAAAAGACACTCTTGAAATGCTGTGCATTTGAACTGAAGTGAAAGAATTTGTTTCATGTTGTACTTTACATTATTCTAAGTTTTCACCTCTTTAATATGCTTTTATATGCTAATTATATTAGAAATCTCTTTATAACTAAATACAAGTGGTTTCTTTGTTTAAATTAGTCGTTAAAAACTAGGTTGGAAATGAAAGTGGATTATTTAGTAAATCATCCCTTCTAGATGGATTTCATCTCATTTTGCTGTTCTGTGACTCTCCTATGAGCGTCATCCACTGAAACAGTGTTGTTTGTGAAACCTTCAGAGTATAACACACTAGTTTTTTTCTCACACAAATAATATAAAGAAGCACTTAGTCGGTGTTTTACTTAAACTATGATTAGTTTATTTAACAAAATCAAGGAGTGTTTTATGGAGGGGCATTTCATTATTGTATTATAATCATGCCATTTCCAGCAAGATGAGAATGTCTACTTAAATTAAAATCTTCCTTTTCAAATATAATTCATGCTTAATACATTTCAACTGATGTGCCTCCTTTTGTTGAGTTTAATATGATGATAGCAGGCTTCTTTTGTAGCCACAGACGTCTTTAAGTATTTATGTTTTAACAATATGACTTTAGTTTAGATTACATTGAATTGGGGCTGGTGGGAGTGGGGTAGGAGCGGCTGGTCTCCCTGAGAATCTGAGAATCAACCTTTCTCCTTTCTGTTTATTCATATCTCTCCTATAGCTCATGTTTTCCAATACATATAGTTACCATCAACATGGCTATTTGCAGCAGCTTTTTTTTTTTTTTTTAAAGAATAAGGTATTTATTTTTGATAGGAGATCAATACAAGTTCAACTTTGTAGATTTCTCTTAGGAGAATATGGAGAAAGAAATCATCCATGTACATACCTACCCACACTTAGGAATATAGTTGTCCCTTGGTATCTACCAGAAGGATTGATTGTAGGACCCCCAAGGATACCAAAGTTCATGGACGCTCAAGTTCCTTATATTAAATGTTATAGTATTTACATATAACTTACATATATCCTCCCTTACACTTTTAATCATGTCTAGATGCCTTATGATAATACAATGTAAATGCTATGTAAATGATGTTATACTATATTGCTTTTTTGGTATTTTTTATTCTTTTTAAATATTTTTGATATTTGGATGCATAACCCATGGATATGGAAGGCCAATTGTGTGTTTTCCCCCCATTTTTAATTTGTAATTGAAACATAACTTACCATGTTGCCTCTGAGCTCAAATGTTTATTTAGGCTATTAAGCAAATGGTATAAAACCATAAGAAATTACTTAGACTACAATGAGCAAAACATATTTGTGGGTTTGGTCAGCAGATGCTGCTCTGATTTGCCATTAAAATCTTAAAAATTCTTAAAAAGCTCTCTTGAATTTGACCTCTACTACCTTCCAACGACCCTGGAAAGACCCTGTGTTAGAACTCTCCTGAAGGCTTGCTCTTCCTTTAGTGACCTTAACACTCAGGTTTGTTCTTCCAGTGGGCAGCCCCAGTTCATACAAATTGACCTGTGTGTCTGGTGTCTTTAGACTTTGATACGTTGGCCAAACTCCATGAGGTATTCAAACATAACACATACCTGTACTTCCATAAAAACCAGGGGAAGTGGGCCGGGCATGGTGGCTCACGCCTGTAATCCCAGCACTTTGGAAGGCTGAGGCAGGCGGATCACCAGGTCAAGAGATCAAGACCATCCTGGCCAACATGGTGAAACCCTGTCTCTACTAAAAATACAAAAACTAGCTGGGCGTGGTGTCATGTGCCTGTAGTCCCAGCCACTCAGGAGGCTGAGACAGGAGAATCACTTGAGCCTGGTAGGCGAACATTGCAGTGAGCCGAGATAGTGCCACTGCACTCTAGCCTGGTGGCAGATTGAGATTCCATCTTAAAAAAAAAAAAAAAAAGTGGAATTTTAGATCAACTCATTTTGCTGAAATTTTAAACTCCATTTAAAAAAATGTGTTTGTAGAAAGAAATCCTGGTGCATATAAAAACTGCAATGAGTAACAGTAATTCAGGTAAGAATCAAGCAGGCCTTGAGTAAAGCAGTCCATTATTATTGCAGAGACTATTTGGGACTAACCACCCACCCTATGTTGCTGTGAGGCACTAATAAAGATACTCATTTTGAGCTTTTATGCACCAGTGCCTACATACATAGTAAGGAACACAAGATACTTCAAAGTATAAGTAATATATAAACACAGTAAGAGCTGTTCCAACCCCAGAAACTTTAACGTAAATCTGAAGTGAGCCATCATGATGCAGAAAAAGATTGTCATTTTGCATCCTTTCAAGTAGAACTATCTGATAATCTTTTCTGTTTGTATCAGAAGAGATTTCAACTCAACATGAAAATTTTACTACTTTGAATTATTTGAAAATCAAGTATTTGAAGGAAAAAAATTATTTCTCATCTAAAGATGGATTATATTTCCTTTTGCTAGATAGGATTGGCAATGGTGATGATGTGATTTTTTTTATTTAAGGACATAAAATTAATTATAGTACTCATCAGGTGTCTGGCAGCTGCATGCCTACACTCATTCCAAGTCATGTTGAAGTGACTCCAGCATTTCCCTTTCTCCAGCATCCGGCTGTAACTAAGGAGATTTTTTTCCCCCCGACAAATGACAGTGGCAGAAATTTCATGTGTATTGTTTTCTTCTCGAGAACTCAAGGCAACTCTTAAGAAAGAACAAGCATGTGGAATACTGCATGTAAAAGATTTTTTGCACACTCAAAAATATTGCTCTAACATAACAGGGGCATGCCTTTAGGAGATACATGGTTAAACTAGGGAGGAAACTGACCTTTACTGATGGACTCATATATAAGATAGTGAAGATTACATACATTATTTCAGAATACCTGGTACATTTTTGCTCACAAATCTTATTTTATTTTGAAAAAAACTATCATATAATGTTTGAAGACCAGTCCCTGTAATTAGGACTAATGTGTGATGGTGACCCATAGTCTTCTGGATATTGGTTTGTTTCTGTCATAGATTTTATTAATAAATTTATTTCTGCCCCCAACTATATATACAACTGAGTAAGCCATTTAAGAATTCTGACTCCTTGGGTGGGTGTGGTGGTTCATGCCTATAATCCCAGTGCTTTAAGAGGCTGAGGCAGGCAGATCACTTGAGGTCAGGAGTTTGAGACCAACCTGGCCAACATGGTGTCTCTACCAAAAAAAAAAAAAAAAAAAAAAAAAATCATCCAGGCATGGGGACAGGTGCCTGTAATCCCAGATACTGGGAGGTTGACGCAGGAGAGTTGCTTGAACCAGGGAAGTGGAGATGCAGTGAGCCAAGACCCCACTGCACTCCAGCCTGGGCAACAGAGGAAGACCCTGCCTCAATAAATGAATAAATAAATACCTTTAAAAAAAAAATTCTGACTCCTTTGAGTTGGAAGGAACTTTAGATTTTATTCTAAGATAAAATTTTATATGTGAATACATATTTGAGACTACATACCTAAAACATCATATTAGTAATGTAGTTTACTTATTTTTACTCAATTTTAAACCCTGATGGATTTTAGGTTCTAGAAAGTTCTGCCATCTTAACATAGTCACATCAAAAAGCAGATTTAACTGTCAAAGAAAACAGATATTTGAAAAACTTGCAATTTAAAAAACAGTCTTTACTATTTTTTTTTTTTTTAGCATAAGAAAAGTACAGGCTGGAAGAGGTCGCTCACACCCGTAATATAACCTGGGCAACAGGCAGAGCAAGACTCTGTCTCACAGTCCAGAAGCAAGTCCTAAAATGGAACATTTGAACCATTGCTGGAAAATAGTACTAGGTTTAGTTTGAAAAACTCTTAAGGGAAAGATAGGTGGTAGGTAGTACATTGTCAACCGGTTTCCGTAATTTCAGCATGTCTATGAAGAATTAGATGGATATGAAGTTAATCTGGCCATAGAATGCCGTCCCATTGAACTTTGGAATTGATTCAGCTGAAGCATAGGACATGGAACATTTATTTACTCACACTAGGCGGTACTCATTAAGGGCCTACAAATGCTGGGTAGCATGCTAAATATTGAACACGGGGAGTTATGGTCAAGTTGGGGACTGACAAGCTAATAAAACCAATATGCAGAAGAAGATTAACCACTACCAAAAATTAATTCTATCTTCAGGGATCAGTGCTCAAACGTTACACAATGGTCAGATAAAAAATAATTAAATGTTTGTAGCATGGTGCAAGAAATACTGTATGCAATGTCTACCCCATATAATAAATGACATAGTAAGTGTAACCTGGTATAAGTGTTAACTCGGAAATGGGGTTTAGTGATGTCAAGAATTGTGAATGGAAATTAACAGTTCTGACTGAAGGAATTAGGGAAGAGTTCATAGCAGAGGGAATATTTGAGATATGTTTTAAAGAATACTTCAAATTTTTAGGTGTATAAGAAGAAAAGGAATTATAGCATCAGAGTACTGAAGACAAAAGGGCATAATGTTTTAGAAAATAGAGTGAAAGTGGCTAGTGAAGAGGCTGAAAAAATGTGTGTGTTATTGAGTTAGAATTTTTTTAGCCATTAAACACAGACCACTGATTTATCTCTAAAAAGAGAAGTGATACGACTGGTTAACAGAAAAATAATTCTGACAGCAGTGTAAAAGATGAACTAGACAAGAAAGAGACAGACTTGATAATAGAAAGACCAATTAGACTGGTTTACATGAACCCAGGGAAGAAAAAGTAGAGATTGCGTTAAGACAGAGCTATTGGGCATGGAGGAGTGTTATCTAGAGTATAGTCTTCTAAGCTTCAGTTGAGGAAATTAAATGATCTCTTGTGCTGGCTTCAGCGAGGATGCTTTCACTAGCCTAATGGTTAGGGTGGAAGCTAGATTTACGTGTGTTGAAAAGTAAGTAGAGACCATTTGAGGGGGTAAGTGAGATAGTATGAGTGTGAGATGTTTTAGGCAAAGTTTTGTTTTTAGTATGGATGAGATGAATAAGCTTAGAGGAAGTTAATGAGTTCCGTTTTAAACTGGAATTTGAGTTGCTTGTGGGACATTCACATGGAGTTGTCCAGTAGGCAATTGAAATGGGTCTAGTGATCAGTAAATGAACATAGAACATACAGATTTGAGAGTCATCAGTGTATATATGTAACTGAAGCCACAAAAACAGATAATATTGCCCAGGGAGAGTGGACAAAGGCCTGCAAGATATTCTGGATGCATATTAACATGTAAGGGATTCATTTATTCATGAATTCAACCAGTATGTAATGAGCACCTGCTAGGGACCAGGTACACAACTTGGCACTGAGTATATAGCATGAATATGATAGCCAGGGTTTCCGCTCTCAATCAGCTAACATCAGAATGGTAGTGTGGAAGAGGGGAGGGTTGGAAATAGGTGCAAGGGCACCTTGAACACATCTGAACACATACAATCACTTTAAGTGGTGTTAAGCTCCTAAAGTAACAATTGCTTGAAAATTAGTTAATTATGAGGTTAATTATGATTATTTATGCAAAATTTAAACCATGACTTAGTGTCGTCAGTTGTGCCAGAGATAACTACATGTGTTTTAATCAACTTATTGATGTATAATTTACATGTAATAAAACCCACCCATTATTAATTGTATAGTTTGATGAGTTTTGAAAAATGTATACAGTTAACCAAAATCTATACTACCACCATAATCAAGATGGGACTCTTTCTATTACAAAAAAATTTTCCTCTGACTCTTTGCCACTGATTTTCCTCACCTCCAGACAACCACACAATCCTTTCTGGCACTAAAAATTAGTTTTGCCTTTTCACGGATTTCATATAGGTGGAATCATATAGTATTCACAGTTTTGTATCTGGCATCTTTCACTTGGTATATTTTGAAATTCATGCATGTTTCATGTATCCGTAGTTTTTATTGCTAGGAATTAGTTTATTGTATGCATATATACCACACATTGTTTCAGTTTACCTGTTCATGGACATTTGGTTTGTTTTTACTTTGGGGGCTATTATGAATAAAGCTGTTTATGAACATTCATTTACAAGATTTTGTGCAGAAATTTGTTTCCATTTCTCTTGGGAAAATACCTTGGAGTGGAATTGCTGGATCATATGGTAAGTGTACATACAATTTTATAAGAAACTTTCAATTCTTTAAAAATGAATTACATACATTACATTCCTACCAGCAACGTATGAGGGTTGTACACGTTAGTATGGTCAGTCTTATTCTTTTGTGAGTATAATGGTTTTCTCATTGATATTTTAATTTGTATTTCACTGATGACAAATGCTCTGGGCTTCATTTCATGTGCTTATTGGTCATTTGTATATCTTTGCCAAGTGTCTACATCTTTTGCCCAGTTTTTAATTGGTATTTTCTCCCATAATTATTGATTTATAAGAGTTCTTTAAATTCTGGTCATAATCATTTGCATTACAAATATTATCTCCCTTCCTCTGACTTGTCTTTTGTTATCTTAATGTGATCCTTTGAAAAACAGAGCTTTTTCAATTTCAATATAGTAAAATTTTTAATTTTCTCCTCTAAGGTTTATGCCTTTTTGGTCTCCTCTGAGGAATCTTCTACTACCCTAAGATCACAAACATTTTATCTTAAATTTTCTTATGGACATTTAATGGTTTTAGCTTTTATGTTTAATGCTAAGACCCACTTAAAGTTAATTTTTAATGTATGGTATGGAGTAAGGGTTGCAATTTGTTTTTTTCTCATAGGGTAGCCAGTTGTTACAGCACCATATACGTCATGTGTTATGTTTTGTCTAGGCTTGTGTAAGAAATCTCTCCTCTTAATACTTAAAGCATTAAGATACTCTGTTTATCTTTGTTTTTCATCAATTTGACTATACTACATGTAGGAGTGTTTTTAATCTAGTTTGGGATCATTTAGCTTCTTAGAACTGTAAAATAATGCTATGCTGTTGTTTTTTTAACCACTTTTGGAATGTTTTGGACCACTATTTTTTCCAAAAATGTTTTCTAGTTTTTTCCTCCTTTCCTTTCAGAACTCCAGTTGCACATATGTTAAACCTCTGTTACTCTCCCACAGGTCTCAGAGGCTCCATTTATTTTTCTTTAGTCTTTTGGGTTATGTAATTTCTATTGTTCTACCTTCACGTTTACAGATTCTTCCAGATTGTTCCCTCTATCCTCTCCAGTTTGCTCTTGAGCCCCTATAATAAATTTTTCATTTTGTTGTATTTTTCACATCTGACATTTCCATTTGGTTGTTTTTTATAGTTCCTTTTTTCTGTTGAGATTTCATATCAGTACAGTTATTGAGATTATGTTTTCCTGTAATTCTCTGAACATCTATATCATACCTGCTTTGAAGTTTCTTGTCAACTAAACCCAGCAGCTGAGCCTGGTAGGAGTCAATTTATGTTGACTGCCTTATTCATGAGTGTGATTTGCCCCTTACCTGATTTTTGCATGTCTTTAGTTTCTGTTAAATGAAAATGGACATTGTGGATAACATGTTGCAACTCTGGATCATCATTTCTTCCTCAGATTAATATTTTTATTTTGGTTTTGGTTTTTGGTTAAGTCGCTTGAGCTAAAACTGCAGGCTTTATCTTCCCCATGGTGGGATCCCTTAGCTGCTATACTCTACTCAGTATTTCTACCTTATAACTGCAGCTTTTTATGTTATGGTCTCCCTGTGCTTGCATCAAATAGCGAAAGCCAATTATTTGGGCTGTTAAATGCTTATATTTTTGGGGTCCACTTTCTTTGCCTTTTGTACTCTCTAGCATTTTCTCCCCTAAATTTCTAGCTGATCTGCCAGCCACACACCCATTAATACTCCAGACCTGTAAAGCCTTGGTGTTCAATCATTTGAACTACATTCAGACCAGGTCTGCACTGTATTAAAAAAGTAGCAGACTTTCAAATATCAACCAGTTCTCACTGGTTTCTGTCTACTTTTACCTTGAGCATTCCAAAATCTCCCATGTGCATGTGAAGTTTATCAGTCAGCTGGAATTTGGGTAAAAGATTCAGATTTAATGTTGTGCCACTTCTGCATCTTTCTCCTAGGATTTCTTCCCAAAATGTCTAGCTCATTTGCCAACCCTAAACTCTTTCCTCTGCCTCCCTCAGTGGGTAAGACTGCAGTTTTCCACCAGTAGAACTATAGGAATCACAAGATTGAAAAAAAACTCATAAACTCGTAAGTCTTACTGCATAAGTTTTGATCTTTCAAGGAAAATATCTGCTGTGGTTATCTGCCTGATTTTGGTGACATTCTAGTGTCTTCAAATATTTTTTCTTTTATTTTGTCTGTACTTTGATATCTGCAAAATATTTTGTCCAGTGAATTCATTCTTCTGTTGTCAGAGCTGGAACTCTACCAATTTTCAAATATTCATTGAATTGATTAATTACTAACTGGCAACCTTGACATCTGTTAAAAGAAAACAATGTAAAATATGGGAAAATCTCTAAATGTAAGATATTCATTATATAATTGATTATATAAAAACACATTGGATTGAACAAAATGAATTTATTCTTTCACAGTTGTGGAGGCCAGAAGTCTGAAATCAAAGCATCAGCAAGGGTTGGTTTCTTCTAGAGGCTCTGAGGAAGAGTCTTTTTCTGTGCCTCTTTTCTGGCTTTTTGTGACTACCACAGCAAATCTTGGTTTTCCTTGGCTTGTGGATTAATCATTCCAGTTTCTGATTCCATCTTCACATGGCCTTCTCCTCTGTGTGTGTGTGTGTATTCTTCTCTGCTGTCTCATATAAGGGGACTTGTTATTAGATTTAGAGTCTACTCTAAATTCAGAATGATCTTATTCCCAGATCTGTAATTACATCTGCAAATACTTTATTTTCAAATAAGGTCACATTCAAAGGTACTAGGGCTAAGCACTTGGACCTATCTTTTAGGGTACACTGTTCAACTCAATGTGTCTCTTCCTTTCTTTAATCTGTATATTTATTGTTTTAATAAATTAGGGAAAATTTTTGGCCATTTTTTTCAAATAATTTTTGTCTCCTTTTTTCTCTTTTTCTTTCTGGGTTTTCATTTACATGCATTTTAGATATTGTCCCACAGATTCCTTGAGACATTATTTATATTATGTTTTTTCTCTTAATTTCAGATTGTACAATTTCTTTCTTTTTCTTTTTTTTTGACAAAGTCACTCTGTCACCCAGCGTGGAGTGCAGTGGTGCCTTCTTGGCTCACTGCAAACTCTGCCTGCTGGGTTCAAGTGATTCTTCTGCCTCAGCCTCCCGAGTAGCTGGAACTACAGGCACCCACCACAATTCCTGGCAAATTTTTGTATTTTTAGTAGAGATGGGGTTTCACCATATTGGTCAGGCTGGTCTTGAGCTCCTCACCTCAAGAGATCCACCTGCCTTGGCCTCCCAAAGTGCTGGGATTACAGGCACAAACCACCACCACACCTGGCCCAGAATATGCAATTTCTATTGACCTATAAGTTCAGTGACTTCTGTCTCCTTAATCCAGTATTTTGTTTTACTTTGCATAATTATATTCTTCATTTCTAGAATTTCTATATGGTCCTTTTCATTAGTTTCTGTTTCTCTGTTGAGATTCTCTATCCATTCATCCATTGCAGATATATTTGCCTTTACATCCTTAAATATAGTTGGCATAGGTGCATTAAAAACCACTTTCCCCCCTAATTTCAACAGCGGATGTATTGAGTTTGGTGTCTTGATTGCCTTTTCTTTTGAGTATAAGTCACCTTTTTCTCTTTATTCTAGGTTAAGTAATGTTGGATTGCATCCTGACATTTGTGAATGATACATTATAGAGACTGGATTCTGTTTACAGTCCTCTGAATAGTTTTGAGTTTTATTTTTGGAGGCACTTAATCTGGCGGGACTCAAATCCAAACTTTCTTCTTGGACTTTCTTTTCTATTAGCTTTTGGGACAGTAGTCTGTCCTGACTCTATCAAAACTGGTGTCAAATGCTGCATGGAAAAATTTAATAGAGTTGATATTTATGTGGTTATTGTTCCCCATTAGGGTAACTTTAGTGCAAACTTTTTTTTTTTTTCCTGAGACAGAGTTTCGCGCTCTCCCCCAGGCTGGAGTGCAGCGGTGCAATCTCAGCTCACTGCAATCTCTGCCTCCCAGGTACAAGCGATTCTCCTGCCTCAGCCTTCCAAGTAGCTGGGACTACAGGTGCGCACCCCCACGTCCAGCTACTGTTTGTATTTTCAGTAGAGATGGGCTTTCACTATGTTGGCCAGGATGGTCTTGATCTCTTGACCTCGTGATCCACCCACCTTGGCCTCCCAAAGTGCTGGGATTACAGGTGTGAGCCACCATGCCTGATCTAGTATATACTTTTTGCAGTAAAGTGAATGATAGGGAAGAAGGTTGAGGTAGTGCTAGAAAAGCTTTCCTAGAGTAAAAATAGGACTATCTAAAAAAAGAATCCGTTGTAGGTGGTAGTATTTGCTACCAGTTTGAATATGTAGCTTAAGCACCAACTTAATTTCTTTTGCAAATCAAGTAGCATGTGTAGATGTTTCTTGGTTCGAGTTTCTTGGTCCCCATTACTATGATTCTCATGCATAGGCCTATGTTATTATCTCTTTTTCTCTAAAACTTTGACTTAAGGAGAAAGCTTTTACTACCCTTTTTCTTGAAGCTTTTGGTATTACAGGTTTACAGGCCTTTGTACTAGAAACTTTTTCTTTTCCATATGAGAGTTAGACAGTACCACATTGCCTCATTGACTTTGTTTTTCTAATTAAGAGAAAATTTAGTCCCCACAAATTCCCTTTTCTCATTGTTTTAAGACTCTTGTAATATAAAATTCTGGCATGCACAGAAAAACTTGTTTATTATCTATTCTTAACAGGCTCTTGGCTACCTGCAAATCTCCTTAATTCATAGCACTGATTATTTTATTTCATATTGTAAATGGCCCTTAAAAAGGGATTTTAAACTTTAAAAAAGTAAAAAAAATAGTGCTGACTTTATTGTAACTAGTTATATTACCACAGTAAAATTTTCGGTACCAGGAAATTTAGAATG